GTGGCCAGGGAGGGGTGCGAGTTAAGATAGGAGTAACTGAGATGATGAGGACACCCTTTGGGGGAGGAAGGGCAAGAGCACGAGGAAGCAGAGGGGGGTCGCGCGGGGGGCGGGGGATGCTGATGATGGGGGGGGGCAGATGAAGCCAGCAGCATCAGCAACACATGGGGCTTGCGAGCAGGAGCAGGAAGAGCAGGGGCAGAAGGATGCGGGGGGAGAGGGTATCGGATGAGGAGGAGGCGGAGAAAGATGACGCGGAAGAGGAGGATGAGGAGGAGGAAGAAATGGATCAGGATCCGACGAGGAGGAGGGCGACATCCCAGCGCAGCATGGGAGGATGCGGAAACGCGAGCAGCCAGGTGCTGAAGGGACTAAAGGAGCCCAGAAAGGACTAAAGGAGTCGAGAAGGGACTAGTGAGTCCAAAGGGAGGCGTCCTTTGATGTGCATGCGGGGCAGGCTTGAGTTGGTTGCAATGTGCTGCTGCGGGTCGGTGGAAATTGCCTCGATCCTCAGCATCCGGCGGGGGGGGGGGGGGGGGGGGGCGAGGAGGATGTCGGATCCTGAAGACGGGGAGGACGAATAGGGTGGAAGAGGAGTATTGGGGGGGGAGGAGGGGTATCGAATCTCAAGGAAGGGAGGGGGAGGAGGCCAAGGATGGGGAGGCGGCGGAGGAGGAGGAGGATTGGGATGGGACTGCAAAGGAGGAGGGGGAGGAGGAGGTGCCAAGAGGAGGCCGCGGATGATGAGGAGGAGGATGAGAAGGGCGAGGAGGATCAAGTTCAGCGCCGTGGACGCCTCGATTGCGTGAGGAGGGGCGCTTGCTCGAGCCTCCTCTTCATGCTGCTGCTGCTGCAGCGCTGCTGCAGCGCTGCTGCTGCTGTTCTGCTGCTACTCCTCGTCATCAGTCTTCCCCTCCTCCTTCTCCCCCCCCCTCGAGCTCCGAACTTCCTCCTTCCTGCTCCTTTCCTTCCTCCCTCCTTCCCTCCCTCTCTCCTCCCCCCCTTCTCCCTCCCTGCGTCGCTTCCTTCCCGCTCCCTCCCTATCCCTCACTCGCCCTCACCCTCCCTCCCCCCACTCCTTCCTCCTCCTCCTACTCTCCTCCTCATCAGCATCATCTTTAAGCCCCCTCCCCTCCCTCCTCGTCACTCGATATCCCGATTCCCTCTCCCCTCCCCCTTTTCCCTCCCTCCTCCTCCCTCCGACCACCCCTCCAAGGTTAACGATCGATGGTGCGCGCGATGACCTCGAGGCGACGGCGATGGCTAACAAACTGTGGTGACGGTCGACTGCAGTGATCAAGGTTATAGTGGTGATACTGGCGATCATGAGCATCTGTCGGGACGTCTGCCGTCGGGCCAGGGAGGGAGGGGGGGGAGGAAAGGTGGGTGGGGGGGGGAAGGGGGGCGGGGGGAGGAGGAGGAGGAGAGGAAGGAGAGGAAGAAGAAGAGGATATAGAGGAGGGAGGAGAGTGAGAGGAATGAGGGGGGGGGGGAAGGAAGATGGGTGAGAGGAGGAGGAAGAGGAGGGGGTGGAGGAGAAGAGGAGGAGGAGAGAGGAGGAGGAGGAGGAGGAAGGAGAGAGGAGGAAAAAAATAGGAGCAGAGGATAAGAGGAAAGAAGAGGAGGAGGATCGAGAGGAGGGAGGAGGGAGGAGGAAGGAGGAGAAGAGGGAGGAGGAGGAGAGGAGGAGGAGGAGGATGACGTAAGAGGAGGAGTAAGAGGAGGGACTAGGGGGATGATGAGGAAGAGGAGACCGAGATAACCGAGGACGAGGGGTGGAGCAGGTAGTAGGATGAGCAGAGGAGGATGATAGAGATAGGCGAACGAGGAGGAGGATGTTGAGGAGGAGAGGACCTCGATGAGGATGAAGATGAGCAGAGTACAGGAGCAGAGGGCAGGAATGGAGGAGGAGGAGGAGGAGGAGGATGAGCAGGAGGAGAGGTAGGAGCATGAAAACGGGATCCGGATTAGTGAGGCGTAGGCGGATAGGGAAGGGGCAGGAAAGGCCCTCCCCTCCCCCCCCCCCCCCCCCCCCCTCGAGGCCACCACCGCTATGAAAGCGCGCACCCCCCCCCTTCCCCTTTCCCCCCCCCCACCCCCCCCCCCCCTCCCGCTCCCCTCTTCCCCCCCCCCCCCCCCCCCTCCCCCCCCCCCCCCCCCACCCACCCGCGACAACGCCAGCGCGCCCGCCTCCTCGGCGACGGGGGATGTCGGGCATGGGAGGGTGAGCACTGCACGGATTCGGCCCCTGTGGCCCCAAAGCTTAAACAAGCCTATATAGGTAATATATAGGTACTATATATATATAGTATATAGACCGATCAGATGATCGATCTATACACCTGCAGGGTCATTGTAGGAAGTGGCTTGGTCCGGTTTCGTATGTGCATGGGGCGGGGGGTTAAGATGTGTGGCCTTGAAGGTCTACAGTACATGGTGGGCCCTGGGTTCCTGGGCTCTGCGGGCGCACGACGAACTCTGGTCCAGGGGCCCTGAGATCATGCCCCCCTGGTTGTGCAATGCTCAGGGCGCTGCGCATTGCCCGCGGGTGCCCTGCGAAGATGATCATTGGCGGCAACACCAAGGACGGCACCAAGTACCTCTACTGGCGGCGCACCAGGACTTTGGATGCACTCTTGCGTCGGCGGTAGGGGTGGTACGGCTTTACGGGCAGAGGCTCTCGAACACCCCAGGGACTGACGTGCCTGCGGCATCAGCCCCTGGGGATTTCGACATGCCAACGCGAAGGGTTCTCGGCTGGAATTGAGGGTCCGCGGGGACCCCCAGCTCAAGCCTAGAACCCATCGGGGACTGCCTGTAAGGCCGTTGTTTGACCCTTGGGCCTCGATGTGGGGTCCCCTCAGCCCCAAGGGCCCCAGGACCTTTCGATGGCCCCCGCGGGGGCGTCAAATGTCCTAGGGGGTGGGGCGGGGCCATCGAGGAACTTTCCAGTGTCCGAGATCGCTACCGAGGCGCCATGTGGCCGACGCGCGGACCGCGCACGTCGGCCACATGGCTTCTCGAAAGCGACCGAGACACTTGAAAGGCCCTCGAAGGCGCCGCGCAACCGCGTTGAAGGTCATTCGAAAGGCCGTTGGCCCGAAGTGAAGGCCAGCGAGGGTCTTCACTTCGAGCCGAAGGCACTTTCGGGTACACGCGGTGGCCCTTCGGGGTTCGCCCGTGTGCCTGGTGCGGTTCATGGGTTTTCATGGTTCTGCATGGTTCTTCATGGTTCTTCATGGTTCCTTCATGGTTCCTTCATGGTTCTTCATGGATCCTTCATGGGTCCGTCATGGTTCTGCATGGTTCTTTCATGGTTCTTCATGGTTTCTTCATGCTTCCTTCATGCTTCCTTCATGGTTCTTCATGGGTCCTTCGTGGATCCGTCATGGTTCCTTCGTGGTTCTTCATGGTTCTCAATGGTTCTTCATGGTTCTTCATTGAGTTTCATTGATTCTCATGGTTCTTCATGTTTCTTCACGATTCCCCATGGCCTAAGTGCCCCCCTGCCCCATCTATAGAAGGCCCGCAGGCGGCGGCTGGGCCGCGGCGCGGGCGCCGCTGGGCGCGGGCGCGGGCCGCGTGGCTGCCCTGCGCGACCCCCGTTGGCCCTTCCCCTACTTTGGCCCACTCCCCCCGCGCTCGCAACCCCGTTTTACCCCCTCCCCACCAACCCGCCCGACCCACTCTCTCCCTCTCCCCACCCCGCCGCGCTCTCCCACCAACCCCACCCACCCAACCAGCCCTCTCCCCCCACGCTTGTTCCAGCCCGCCCAACCCCCAGCACCCCCCTCGCAATGCACCCCGCCACCGAACCACCCCAGGTGCCCAGCTCGCTGTGATTGCACGATGTTCCCTCCTCGCGTTACCTTATAGGGCCCGTGGGGGCTCTAGAAATCTCGCGCACCTGCTGGGGGCTCTCTGCGTCTGGTCACAGGGGGCGCCCGCTCGATCTGATCCGGCGGAGGGGGGGCGATGCCGCCCAAGCAGCCTGCCGACGCCGCAAAGCCGAAGAAGGCGGAGCGCCTTCTTCGATTGGTCAGAGGATGAGGACCGAGGGTTCAGGTCACGGGCATATATATGCGTGCACAAATCTATGTACACATATGTGTATATATGTGTGTAAATAGATGTATGTATACATGTGTGTGTGTGTGTCAGTGTGTATATGTATTTATACACATGCACGAGGAATAGCGGAGGGGGGGGGGCCGCGCCCTCCCCGCGCCCAGCCACGGCCCGAGGCGGCAAGGTCTGCTGCCCAAGCGCAAAAGCGCAAAGACAACGCCAAACACGAGAACGAACTGCAAAACCTGCGGCAACCTTTGGGGGGGGGGGTGGGGTAGGGGGGGGGGGGGGGGGGGGGGCACGGGGGGGGGAGGCAGCACGAAGTTGTAGGGAGAGGCCCCTCTGGCTTCGGGCATTTACGCTTGAGTAGTAAATGTAATGCACTGGCCATCATGTGGGACTGCTGGCGCATGTGATTTTAGTTTTCGAAAAATGTGCAAGGGGGGTGCCGCGCTGGCTTGGCGAAGCCAGAGCTAAAAGATTATCATCAAAAAAAAGCCACGGAGACAAAAAAAAAGGAAGTGGCTGAGACCGGAAAGAAACTGCGGGCGCGGGTGGTGGTGGTGTCAGCGGCGCGACGGCGGTGATCGCTGGAAACAGGTTCGGTGGCGTCCGGTCGGCGGGCGGCGTGGCGGCGACAGGCGGGGCGGCGGTGGGTGGTGGCGCAGTGGGCTGCGGCGAGTGTTGCGCGGGCATGGGAGGTACTTTTGACACTCGCCAGCGAGAATCCGAGCCCGAAAACCATGTCAGAGGGCAGGGCGGCCGAGGCCCAGTGAGATGAGCTACGACCAGCTGCTCATCAACTACTGCTACCGGCCCCAGATTCCCACCCTGCACGACGCCCTGAAAGGCGCCCTGTGTTGTTCGGGGCGGCGACGTGGCCAGGCCGGAAGGAGGAGGAAGGACGGAGGAGGAGGTTGGGAGGAGGGATG